CCTTACAGACTGTTAAACAAGAAGGGATCTAGAAGGGCTCAGGGCACTGGAAAACAACCAAGCAAACAAACATAAATGAACTCAGCTTTTAAATGAGCAGAGAATATCTCTGATTTTCCAAGTATTTTTTAAAGTCTAATAGCAAATGCTAATAAAAAAGTTTAAAGTAAAATATTCAGTATTTTTAAAATAAGGTTTTTTTCTATAGATTTAGAGAAAAACAAAGAGCAAAATCCACTGAGAATTTATGAATATTTTAGAATGTTGGAAACTATAAATGAAAAACAGAAAGTCTAATGAAGTGCTCTTTGGGTCCCCCATCAACGGGTCAGAAATAACACAATGGCTTTTTCTATTATTGTACCTCCCACAGGCTTTTTCTTGACAAAGCCAAGGAACCTCAAGGACACACAAAAAACATTCAAAACACTTTCCTGTCTCCTCCAATCCTAATTCCAACAAAAGAACTTGTAGGAGTTGGCTTCAAATTTAGGCTTGTAATGAAATGTGAATTCTTAAGATACGGAGATTGGCTGCTAGCTAAATTCTTTTGTGTCTAAAATTAATGATGGAAAGTAAAATATATGGAATTTTAAAAAATGTGTCTCCTTACTATAACAAGCAAGGGCTAGCAGAAATATTATAATTAGTTTCTCTAAAATGGGTCTAAGTCCCTCCTTCGCTGTTAAAAAAAAATGATTCTAGGTACAGAGGTAACCCTTGTGCTTCCAGTTTTACAAATCATGCAGCATAGACAACCTTTGAAACAACCTCAGAAATGCCCCCAATAATGCAGTTACTATAGTAACTCTTGTACGTTAGTTCTCTGAAACGACTCAGACTCCTGAATCTGAACAAGGTTACCTCACCATCTTCTATGCTTTCCTCCCCTCATAAAATTTATCATCACAACACTTACAAATTCGATAGAAAAATATCTACCCCATTACCTATACAGAACCTATTTTTCTGGCTCAAGGATTATTTCTAATGTGTATGTTTTCTGATACCTTTTCTCTTGGAACACTATCCAATAAAACAACAGAAATCAAATTCTACTTTTGACCATCACTCAACTGTCCCTGACTTGTCTTTCCAATTTTTTCCTCTCTGTTTTAGGCTTTTTTGGGGAAAAAAAAAAAGTGACAGAAATATTTACTGTGTCAACAATACAAAGTTTTTTTTATATTTTATAGATATATAACCAATTAAGATATATAACCAATGGTCCCTCTAAAAAATGCTTGCTTTTAAAAAATTTGACTGTGAGCTATGAATCAAGTTTAGTGAGTAAATATCTGTGTTACATGAACAAAAAGCCAAACACATTGCTAACTGATACTTGTCCAGTACCACGCCCTCACCCAAGGGATCATAAGGGCTTCTCCTAAAAAGATTCTCCTTATGGAAGTCATACCTATACCAGCTCTAGACAGCAAAGAAAATTCTATTTCATTTAATGATAAATTCCATTTGTATAGCAAGTTAGAGTTTCTAAGGTGATTCCATGTACACTATACCTTATGTAATCCTCACAAGAAAAAACAATTTTCCTAATTGTTTCTCGAGCATGCTGAGCTAACCAAGGAACATCTGAAATTAAACATCCTATAGTCCTACTCTACTCAAGCTTCTTGGTATACTCACTGTAAACAAAGAAAGTGAATGATTCTAGTGATCAACAAATCGTTTTTCCATTTAGTTTATGTTTAATTCTTTACTTTCTTCAGTTTATTTTCAACTTTTTGCTTTCGGTAGGAGAACTTGATAAAACAATAAAAATAATTAATGATGATGGACCACAATGCAACTTTTGTGTATAACTGAGGATTTATCTAAATATTGAGTGACATTGCAACAATAAAACTTGCATTCTCACATATATGGCTATTTAATAAGGCTTCTCAGAGTTTACTTCTATAAAAACTGAAAAATGAAATAGTAACATAAATTTTTCTCAATAAGAAATGTTTATGTGATAATTATTAAAATTTATAATACATTTGTAATGTTACTTTGACCAGCTATAAATAATAATCAGGGTAATGATGATTATAACACAGGAAGAAAAATCTCTCAGTATCTTCTAGTAACAGGAAATCAGTAACTTAATTTCAATTTACATATATATATATATACATATATATATATGATATATATGTATATATGTATGATATATGTATTTTGTCTGATATATATGTATATATATATATATCAGACAAAAGTCATTAAAACATAAAATACATAATACTAAAACAAAGTTCAGGGATGCCTGGGTGGCTCAGTTGGTTAAGCGGCTGCCTTTGGCTCAGGTCGTGATCCCAGCGTCCTGGGATTGAGTCCCACATCGGGCTCCCTGCTCAGCAGGGAGCCTGCTTCTCCCTCTGCCTCTGCCTGCCACTCTGTCTGCCTGTGCTCACTCTCTCTGACACATAAATAAATAAAATCTTAAAAAAAAAAAAAAAAAAAAACAAAGTTCAAGGAAAAGAGATGTAAAATTTGTGTCAGAGTTGCTCCACGTTTTTAAAATATTTTATTTATTCATTTATTTGAGAGCCAGAGAGTGGGAGTGGGGGGAGCAGGAAGAAGATCAGAGGGAGAAGAACAAGTAGACTCCATGCTGAGTGCCAAGCACGATGCTGGGGCTCCATCCTATGACCCTGGGATCAGGAACTGAGCTGAAATCAAGAGTTAGATGCTAAACTGAGTGAACCACCCAGGCGCCCCAAGTTGCTTTATTTTTAAAACAATAAACCATGGTAAGTATCATGCTTTTATATTTAGATTACCTGGATACGCTTAATAAAAATGGTTAGCAGTTTTATTTTAAAATGTGAGTATCTGGGCACCTGGGTGGCTCAGTCAGTTGTATCTGCCTTCAGATCATGTCATGATCCCGGGATCCTGGGATTGAGCCGCACATCGGGCTCCCTACTCAGCAGGGAGCCTGCTTCTTCCTCTCCCTCTGCCTGCCTCTCACCCTGCTTGTGCCCTTTCTCTCTCTGTCAAATAAATAAATAAAATCTTTAAAAATAAACAAAATAAAATAAAATGTGAATATTAAGGGGCACCCAGGTGGCTCAGTCAGTTAATTGTTCAGTTTGGTTTTGGTTCAGGTCATGATCTCAGGGTTGTGAGACTGAACCTTGTCCAGCTCTGTGCTCAGCGCAGTCCGCTCGAGACACACTGTTTCTGCCCTCCCCCTCCCCTGTCAAATAAATATATCTTAAAAAAAATTAAAAAATTGTTTTTGAATATTTAAAATATAATGTAAACTACATTTTAGGAAATTATTTAAACTTAAGATGTGGGGCGCCTTGGTGGCTCAGTGGGTTAAGCCTCTGCCTTTGGCTCAGGTCATGATCTCAGGGTCCTGGAATTGAGCCCCACTTTGGGCTCTCTGCTCAGTGGGGAGCCTGCTTCCCCCTTTCCCTCTGCCTGCCTCTCTGCCTACTTGTGATCTCTCTCTTTGTCAAATAAATAAATAAAATCTTAAAAAAAAATAAACTTAAGATAAAAATTTCAGATGTAAATTTAAAAATGTCAGAGAATATAGTTTAAATAATAGTTTAATAAAATAAAAATGATAATAATATAGTTTTAAAAATTCTTTGAAGGAATATGTGAGCACAAAAAAAAGTCTGAAGATCACAATACAATCCAAACCATGCTTCTAGCTTTAGGTTATTAAATGTGAAGCTGGCACAGATTTGAGGAATTCAGATTTTCTGCTTCATCCTGAATAGTATCAGTATAGTTAAAGATAACTTATATCCTAAAATATTCAACCAAAACCACTTTGTTACCCAGCATGGGAGAAAACTAAAGGGCCCTTAAGGCATAAGGTACCATGTATCAAATCAGTTGTCTGACTTATAAATTGTCTAGTGACAACCTTGTGAATCATGATGCTTGCCCAGACTAAAGAATAGCATTCCTTAGCAAGAGTTAAAATTATGGGAGCTTTCAGGATGTGTTTCTCTCACGGAAGCACTTAGTTAAATTATATCATTTAATCAGAATGCCTACATAATGATAAAATTATTGGCTGCATTATCAATATTACTGTAACTGCAGAATCTGCTGTAAAAAGTGGAAGTATGCTAAAAAGTGTTCTACTAGACCAAACTGCAAGCCTCACAAAAACACCAGTACCCCAGGCTTTCAAGACCATCAGACATACTTTAGCTAAGTAGCTAGGAGCTACTAGTTAAGGCTCCTAAAATACAGTATTTCAATTCAAAAAAGTCACTGAAAAAAATTTACTTAAGTATTAAAAAATAATTATAATAATTTCAATAAGTAACACTTCTTTACCACCCACAGATGAGGGTGCAGCTTCAAAGGGGTGGGCTGATAGCTGACTTAAATAGACAAAGACAGAATGCATTTTAGTAAAAGCAAGCAAGAGGTTTGATTGACAGTTCTTGGAAAAAGGTTAAAAATTCAAAAGGACTGACTGCATGTGGCTCAGAACCTAAAAGCTTTTTTCTCCTCCCAACAGAAGAGCAGTCTCAAGTAATAACTGGTTGCTATGGAGATAAGAAACTAGAGAGATCAGAGAACTCAATTTGCAGTTAAATGGGCTGGAAACAATCCTTACTACTTGGTGAAGGAATGCGATTAAAAATATACATGATTGCCAGAGGGAATCTTTTTCACCTAGCATTTCCCAACCTCAGTAATGAACAAGGGTCTAAAAAACCAAATGAAAGCCCAAGGTGTCTAAGATAGAGCACAATTAAACATAATCAGGATTTTACACATTATCACAAATCCTTCCTCTTCTGGATGACTTTGACTCTTTTTGGCGGTACATGTTAGTAAGTACTGGAATGAGACTAAAATTGTGTTCAAGAACAAAGTAGTATAAGTGAGGGGATTCCAACTTCAATGGAAAAAAAGAGCATGACAAATGGAAGAGCAACCAGAGTAAGAAACAGATATAAGTAGTGAAAAATCTTCGGGTTTTAAAAGATCTCTTCGCAGTCACAGAATACCTTTGTGAGTGCTGTACAGGGCTGCAAACGTGACCGTGAAGAAAGTTGTGGAGTACTTCCCAGCATTGACCAAGTGAGGGAAGGCCCTCTTTGTGTCCCGATACCGGCGCAAGCACTGGATGAAACGAAGCCACGCGGGAACACACTGAACAATGGCCCGCACGCCATACGAGTATTTGTGGCAAATTTCAGGTTCTGTGAAGATTTCAAAAGAGAAAAAAATTGTAATTTAAGAGAATAACCTGTTCAGATCATTTCATTATATATTATAACCACTATCAAAAGTCCCTAAAAGCAAGAATCCTGTGTTTCAGAATCTCTTTCTTTTTTGCAACAACTACGTTCTTAAACTTTTTAGTGATAGATAAGCCAAGGAAAGAAGGTAATTCCATAGGGTGAACCTACAGGGAAAATCTGCTCTCTCATATTTCAGACTACCTGTTCTGAATCACTTTCTTTGCAATGTGATAAAACTATAGGAAAATTAGAAGATGAGTACACTAATTAAAGGAAAAATATTAGTTCCATAATTTATGGCAATGGGTTATACACGCTCTACTCCACCCTTTTTTAAGGAAGAGCAGAGTTTATATTTTTAAATGAGAAGAATGGAGTTGGTAAATCAAATTTTCTTCAAATTCTGAGGGTGCATTATAGTGTGATCACGCTGCAACAGAGTTGTGGTCTGCTGGCAATCAATGAAAATGTGTTGCCACTGGCTTTATTAACTTTTATTAGATGTTACATAATCTGTCTAAATTTGGTCTTTGACATTAAGGCAAAATTCCTTAATAATTTGAACTCCTGGCATACACCAAGCGTGGGGAAAAGAGCCAGAAGAAAAAACAAGATCCCCAGTAAGAATTAAAAAACAATCCATGATGACTTTCTCAAAGCATGTGATCTAACTCTAAATAATCAGTATTTTTGCTCATAATACAGCAATACTGTGATGGAAACTGTTGGCATTAAAGCATTCGTGATATAACTACCAATGTACTAGAATTTTTTTTTTTTTTTTTGGTTTTAGAATTCTTTTAAGTGTAAGTTGCAAATCTCTTGGCAAATGGATGGCTAAAATCATAACATAATTTAAGAGCCAAATTGTATCAGATAAAGAGATTGCTAAAAGAGTGCCAAATACATTTAATTAAGTTTGTAATATTATTGGATGAGTTTTCACCATGATCTTAAATTTCTCATTCCCAATATTTCTTGATTTACGTTGGCAGTTGAGAGGTACGGACGCACATTCATACCCTACCTTCTGAATTATTTGGCAACAGGCCCCCACTTTCATCCCATTTGAGCTCAAAACTGTAGAAGCAGATCATATATTCCAGGTCCATCAATATCACTGACAGGCTGTTCAGCTGATCGGCCAGCCAGAAATCAGCAAAGCCTACTTTATGGAAGGGGGCCGTAAATACTCGAAACTGGGGGAATGAAAAAAAATTTAAAAACACAGAAACAAGAAAATTCATATTAAATTTCTCTAATTTTTGTCTGACCATGCAGCATGATTATTTTAGTTGATAAAATGGAAACCAATGAACCAATCACTAACACAGGGAGGGACCTGGCAACAGTGGCTAGGTTGAGCATTAGTAGTGAAGGGAATGAGTTGAATAGATAGCCAAGAAAGGAAATTGAAGTAGGATAGAGAAGGCAGGAATAGCTATAGTTAGAAAAGAGAAAGCAGAGAGGGTGGGAAGAGTTGAAGCTGAAAGCAGAGGGTGGCAGAAGATGGAAGCACAGAGAGGATGTCTAGTGTTAGGCTCTAGGGTAAATTTTGCTAGGGACCCATGTGCTATGATAATTTCTGGAATATCCTCCCATCTTAGCTGCGATGAGAGCTTACCTAACTGAATACAAAGCTCTTCTTTGCCTACAAGGGAGAGGAAAGGAAGAATAGTACATCACCTGAAGCATGCCTGCCTATTCTCTAAATCAAAGTCACTTTTAATTCACTAATGCCTTGTTAATAATGGTATTTATCTTGAAATTATGCCATAAAAATCATCAAATCATATCCCCACTGTTATAAAACAATGTCAAATGAATTCAGATTAAATTTACTGTGTACTAATCCATGTTATATATTTTTCTCATAATGTATTTTTCATAATCCATTAACTAAAGCAATTCTATGAGCCTGATACTATTCATATCCCCCTTTTACAGATGACCTTGAACAAACTCATCCTGACCTATTCTGTGGAAGACTGTTTAGCAATGCAAAGGGAAATCTAGCATTGCAAAGAAAGGAAGACTTAGATACTAATGTAACCATTAGAAACAGGCTCCAATTGTGCAGAATGCCTTGAGAGGCCCTAAGGAAAGTGAAGATAGGATGAAGGCAGCTTTTACTCTCAACCTGTCAGACCCTTTTTATCTCAAACAGGTAAAAATGAACTCCTAATACAAGGAATTCTCACAGAGCAGTAGTTTTGAGAAATTAAAATTACAGCTCTCTTTCTATCTAGCTATATTCATTTAGTAGACACATTAAGCATGGGAGACTAATGGCTCTTTCCCCTCACACTTGGCTGGTTCTTTCTATTTGTTTTATAAACATTTCTCTTTATTATTTGATGGAGATAAATGGCTATATTATGAACCCATCCTGGACACCAACTATCTATGAAAGGTATTGGACTGGGTCTTTGGAAATTAGTCCAGATATCTGCAGGGCATAGTACAGGCTTTGCAATATTTTCTGGAGCTGATATATTTTGAGTCCATGGCTCAATTTCTTGATCATTCTCTTGCTCTTTTAATAAGTTGTACAATAACCCAGAGAGAGAAGCTATATCATTTGCAACCATACATTTTTTGGGGGGGTGGGGTAAGGGGTGGGGCTTAGTGGTTGAGATCTTAGTTAACTAGGCATGAAGAGGTTCTAGTACCAGTTTATATAGTATTTTAAGAAACTCTGGGGTGCAGAGCAGACTTTAAAGATTCAAAGAGAGAGAACAAGAGGATAATTCAAGATATAACATCAAAAGGATCAGGAAATCTAACTCAATCCCTAGTCATGGACTTTCATGAAAACGACAGCGTAGAGCAAATTTCTTGTGGACATGAGACAGGCTACCATCCCTCTCATAATCTGCCAAATCCAGCCTCAAAAGCTAGCTAATAAAGAAAACCTCCTTAAGAGCAGAAGAGGAGGAGAATGCACTAAGAGATAGGTAAATGGGATTACAAAAGAAAGGGAATGCCATGAAAATAGAAACTGGAAGGGAAAATTTATAGAAAAGAGAAAATGAAAAAAGGAAAAAAGGAGGGGATAGTAAATGTTGGTATAATACAACTAAGGAAGGAATCAATATAATTACAGTTATACAACATTTAACAAAGATTAATTATTACCAAATGTCAGCCATTGTGAAAGTACAGAGAAAAATAAAACATAGTTTCTACTCTCAAGGAGCCAGTCTGGTTGGGTAAATAGGTACCTAAAGACATAATGACAGCACTGTGTAATAAGTGCTATTACAGATAGATACACAAAATATCCTAGAAATACAAAGAAGGGAGAGCAAGTAGCTCTGTCAGAGATAGGGTAGAGGTGAGGGGGGTAGAAAATAAACAGATCATACTGAACTCCTGACATTTACACATACTCAAATTCTTCTTATATTTATCTGAATTCCCTTTTTGGAGTAAAGAGAATTCTCCTCTTTCCGTTCTAATTCTGGCTAAGGGCTTCCAACTTCTACATTGTGATTTTGATTAAAATGATAATGATTCACCGGGTAACAGTATTAAGAAAGCTAGCAACAATTCAAAAAAATCTGGTGTTTTACCCACATACACAAAAAGCCACTAATAAGGTATTACAAAGGATATACGCTAACATCATTTTTTTTTTAAAGATTTTATTTATTTATTTTATAGATAGAGATCACAAGTAGGCAGAGAGGCAGGCAGAGAGAGAGAGAGGAGGAAGCAGGCTCCCTGCTGAACAGAGAGCCCGATGTGGGGCTCGATCCCAGGACCCTGGGACCATGACCCGAGCCGAAGGCAGAGGCTTTAACCCACCGAGCCACCCAGGCGCCCCCGCTAACATCATTTTCTAAGTTAACGCAGATAGTTAAGGAAATGAAGTTTAATTTCTACTTTTAGAGGTTTGTGAATAATCACACTCTTTGATTTTTATATTCTTTAATTTGAACCACTAGAACAAAGTTAAACACCTTAGATAAGGTCACTATCAGGTCTCACTGTTAAATGGCAGTGGTTAAGAGTACGGATTGTAGAACCAGACTGCCTAGGCTCAGTTCCATCTCCATTACTTACTGGCTATGCATTTAACTCCTTTGAAATTGAGTTTCCTCATTTATAAAATGTTGATTGATAGAACCAACCTTATGGTTATTAAAGGATGAAATAAATTAGCACATAAAAATGTCCAGAAAAGTGCACTATTTAATGAGAATACCTCTCTATTCTCACAGTAGAGACATGTGTAAACACTTTACTATAAAACAAAAGAAATTATTGGAAAAATCAATTTCCAAATTATATAGGAAAGGACTTTAATTTAAAAACTTTAAGTAGCTTTGAGACGCCTGGGTGATTCAGTTGGTTTAGCATCTGACTCTTGGTTTTGGGTCAGGTCATGATCTTGGGATCCTAGGATGGAGCTCCACATTGGGCTCTATGCTCAGCATAGATTCTGCTTAGGACTCTCTCCTTCTGCCCCTTTCCCCCCAACTCTCTTCCTCTTTCTCTAAAATAAATCAATAAATCTTAAAAAAAAAACGTTAAGTAGCCTTTTAGAATAAATTTTTTCTTTTTTTTTTTAAAGAAAATCTGAGCCATTGCTTATGTTTCCCAGTTGAATTTCCAATTAGGATAAATACAGATCTGCAGAGATTTATGACCTAATTAATACAAATAAACTACTAATTTGACATGTAAGTATCAAAATAAATGAATTTCTAATAAAATTTTTTTAGCTTTTTGGTGGAGATTTATAGCATATAAATTCCATAGATTCAGATTTAAATATGATTATAAATGACATCAAGTGCCTACCACTATGGCTAAGTGATATATATTCTTTTCCACTGAAAATTAAAGGAAAAAAAAGAAGGAAATATACTTTTACTTTATGATGAGGCTTTTAAAAAAGAGAAATATAACTAGGGTGGAAATATTTTTGTTAATTCACTAGATATAAGTCTCAGGTTAAGTTTCCTCAGTAAGATCTGAATTAAAATAAGTTAATAGGCCAATTAATATTAAGATGCTCTATAAATAACATTTTTCCTGTATACAATTATTATTACAAATATAACAAACCATAGTGCTTCTTTGTCATTTCACTGCTTCTGATGGTGCATTTTACTATTCTGTTATTCCTTATTATATTATCACTGCCAACCTATTCCATCAATAAGTCCTCATTTATTAGCACACAGCAGATGCATCGATAAATGTCTACTCAATGGGGAATCGTTCTGCTAATAAGACTAACTGGTCATGCATGAATCATAGCTTACTATTTAAACAGAGAAGGATGCACTGGGGAAATGCTCACTTTACACACAATGTACACAATGATATTATTCTGTTATTGCAATAATGCAAACCATATTAACGTCTGAGTTTTCTGAGTCTTTCAGACCTCATTTCAAAATAACTATATAGAGATTTCACAATAGTTGAGGCAGAAGATAATAGGTATTTATAATCTTAAAGTTATTTCCTTCTAACCAGAAGAATACTACATATTTATGCAAATAAGTTTTAAAATTCTACAAAATCTAGCAATAAAATGACAAATGCTCTCAAAATAAAAAGGTGATCTAATATGGTACTAACTGGACATGATTTATTTTTAATATAAATTTCAAAAAAACTGGTTCAAATTTTTCTGTCATAAAAAAAGTCCTTTAAAAACATGTTTTCTAAATGATGACCAAATGTATGCAAGGTGATTTCACACTTTTCAAAATACCTTGTACATCTAAGTTCCACACTTAGACCCAAAGTTAGGCCTAGTGGTGCTATACTTAATAGGAATGATTTGCTCTTTTATTTATTATATTTAATGAAACTGGAGGAAAAGAGGGATATTCTCAATTTGTGATAAAAATGCCACTGGAAGAAATAAGAAATAAAAATAAATAATAATCAACTTAGGGGAAAAAAAAATCAAGGAGATCTGGGCCATTTTCTTTTCGTGATTGCTATACATACTTAACCTGTACTATGACATAACTAGCTCTTTACTTGTGTGCTTTCTATGTTTTTTAATAGGAAAGCCATAATTTATGTCTTCAGATTTAAAAAAATTTAATGCTAGATATAGGAAATGTACTGGTAAGAACAAAAAAAACCTCTGCTAAACTTAATGGTCATATAAAAGGGAAAAGAAGTTAAAACTACAATTTTCAAGGCAGTATACTTCCTAAGGTAAAAAAAAAAGTAAGACAATAACTATAAGAATTCTGAAAGTATGTGTACAGTCTAGTTAGTTTAATAACTAATCTTCACTTTACTGTTAGTTGTCATTCACAACCTAAGAAATAAGTACAGGAGGGACGCCTGGGTGGCTCAGTTGGTTAAGCAGCTGCCTTCGGCTCAGGTCATGATCCCAGCGTCCTGGGATCGAGTCCCACATTGGGCTCCTTGCTCAGCAGGGAGCCTGCTTCTCCCTCTGCCTCTGCCTGCCATTCTGTCTGCCTGTGCTTGCTCTCTCTCCCTCTCTCTCTCTCTGACAAATAAATAAATAAAATCTTTAAAAAAAAAAAAAAAGAAAGAAGTACAGGAGAGCATTCCTGATTACTTTTGAAAATAGAGCTGGTTTAACTCAGGAGTAAGCAAAAGTCCTTCCCCAAGCTATATTTACACTATCACAAAAAATAACAGTAGCTATTTTTGCAAGAAATTCTATATACTATTGCTGACACTGTATGATTTTGAGATCATTAAGAAGTAGGTAAAGTGGAAAAAGAAATGCAATTTATTATAAACAATAATCAAAATCAGTTTCTCAAATTAAAGATGTCAATCTGGTAAGATATTCTTACTGATTTTAGAGAACTAATCTTTTGTACAATAAAAATGGTTCACTACTACTATCAATTTACAGGAAAATAATAGTTTCACCACTTCTAAAAAAAAGAAATTCAAAGAGTTCTACATATTATCACAGCTGGTTAAATAATTTGTATTTAAAAGTACTTAAATTGATCATGAATTAATTATTATTAATTTGCAAAATCATTTCATATCTGGACACTTCATCCTCTTTTTTAGGAGGAAAAAAAATGCATGAGTGTTTTTCCCAGGGCCACTGCACAGTACAATATAAGGTGTACCAATTACACTATATTCTACGCCCCTGGCTCTAGAGCACCACTCACATAGACTATGAAGTGAACCATGCCTTCTGGAGTTGTACAGTACAGCAGACTGGGTTTCCACCTGGAGGAAGCCAATGACCAATATGCCACTCTAAAAATGGTAGACAAATTTCTGGACTTACCAGCAGTTTAAGCAGCCAAAACCGGGACTTGTAATAGAAAGTTTTGGTGGGGTTGATGAGAAAGAAAACCATAAATCCGTAAAGGACAAGTGGATACACATATGTGGGGATGACACTAATTGGAGCAAAGAAGCATGCCAGAAGGCTCAGGCACCACAATATCCCAAGGAATCCAGCAATCTGATGAAGGATGGGAAAGACAAAGAGAAAATTGTTATTTTTATTTTTACCATTACTCAGATACATCTTTAATAAAACAAAGGTAGGATAAATGTTTAGATATTATGTCAATAATCTTCTTCAAGTAGAAGATGGATTTCAGTATCCACGAAAACAGCTATATATAGCTAATGTGAAATAAATTCATGGGACTTTGTATCTTGCTTTGATTACCTCAAAAAGATGCTGATGAGACAAATTGCTTCTTGGATTAAGTTCAAAGATGAGCACATGATTCACTCCAGCCTGTCTCCAACCATATGTGTTGATGCCCAGTAGAAAAAGGAATTCAATCAGGAGAAAGCCACCTCGATAGATTCTTATCAAGGGCCATATACTTCTATCTGTTTCAAGTTTAAATACAGCTGAAAAAAAATCAATTAATTGGTGAGTTAGAAAATTCATAATGTCTCCTCTAGCTGTCTTTTTTCTTAATACTCAATGACACAGTCTTTGGCGTAAAAAGTTTTTTACAAATAAAACCTAAGCCTAGATCATCTCAAGAGCATGAGAAACTTGCTTCCAGATTCTTTCCCTTTTTTATTTCACTCTGCAAAATTTCACCAGAACAATTTTCCTAAAACTTGACTTTTGGCATGTTAGTCCATTGTTCCATTAGTTTCTTAGATTATAGAGAATAAGAGCAAAATTGTTTAGAACCAAAAGATCAGTTCTGTCAGCTAAGTATTTCTGGCATGATATAACTTCCCTGGCTTTGCTCTCTCTCTCTTATTAAACTGATTATAGTAATACTTCTCTCATAGAGTTGCTGTGAAAATTAAAAGACATGGTATGCATGAAAGCAATTGAAAATAAAAGCAAGTGAACAAGGTAATGTCATATTAATGGTAACAGTATTTATAGAATGCTTACTATGTGCTAAGGATTCTTCTCTATTTTTACATGTAAAAATTCATTTAATCCTCCCACTGGTTCTATGAGTTAAAAACTATTATCCCCCTTTCACTGGTGAGGAAATTACAGCACAGAGAGGCTGAGTAATTTGCTCAGGATTACCAAGCAAGTAGAGGGCAGAACCAGGATTTTAACTCAGACAGTTCTGCTCCAAACCCCACAGGGTCTTTTTTTTTTTTTTTTTAATATTTTATTTATTTATTATTTGAGAGAGAGAATGATAGAGAGAGCATGAGAGAGGGGGAGGGTTAGAGGGAGAAGCAGACTCCTTGCAGAGCACGGAGCCTGATGCAGGACTCAATCCCGGGACTCCAAGATCATGACCTGAGCCGAAGGCAGTCCCTTAACCAACTGAGCCACCAAGGTACCCCAAACCCCACAGTCTTAACCATTACATTCTATTGTCCGTATGCCCATAAAAATGTTCAGTAACCACTATTACTCAGTAGTACTCTAATAGCTATAATGTTCAAACACCATAGCCTTGTAATTTAAGTTCTTCACCACAATCTGGTCTCCAACTCACTCTTCCTTAACCTACAGTGCTCTTTTTTAAACATTAATTCTTATCTCCTGATGAATTTTATTAGTCTTTCACAAATTTGCTTTTTCATATTGGCTTATGTTGCCCCATACCTAAAATGGCCTTGTACCTTCTTTCCACCAATTCACATTCTACTTAATATTAAAAGCAAAATCCTTACCTATTCATAAATTTATTGAATCATTGTTTCATTTTGAACCCACTATGTGCCAAATATTTCAATTTGGCTAAAGATTTCTCAGTTTTCTATATAACCACAAAATTATTTATTAGACTCATTTGAAATTTAATTATATACTACCTTATCCTTAATTTAAATAACTACTTACTTCTTAACTTTATATTCTCTATAGTACATAGCATATTTAATAATTTAAAAATAACAGGGTAGAAAAAGCCTTTGCTTTGGAGTCAAATACTGTAGACCAGAATTCAAATCATAGCTACTCGAGATAAAATTATTTTATTTTTTCATATCTCCATTTCCTTATTGGTCAATGGTGATAATATCAATTCTCATGAGTTTGTCAAGAAGATTAATATGACCAAAGACTCAAAGATGGCAGAGGAGGAGACCGTAGTTTTTTTTGGTCCCAGAAATTCACTGAGATAGCTTTGAAATTATTCTAAACACCTGCAAACTCAATCAGAGACCTAAGAAAAGAACTGCTACAATTCTACAAATAGAAAAATGATCACCTTCTCCAAGAATGTCAAGAAGGAAAAACTCACCTGACAAAAGAGAATAAGAGGCAGTACTGACTGCCTAATCTGTACTAATTAGGTACTACTGTACCTAATCAGTACTGATATAAGTAAGAAGTCAGAACTAGAGATCAGAATAATGATTATAAAGATACTAGCAGGGCTTCAAAAAGCATAGAATACACTAGAGAATCCCTTTCTAGAGAAATAAGAGAACTTAAATCTAATCAAGTCGAAATTGAAAAGGCTATTAGTGACATGTAAAAAAAAAAAGGAAGCTCTACCTGCTAGGATAAATGAGGCAGAAGACAGAATTAGTGATATAAAAGACTAAATGATGGAGAATAAACAAGCTGAAAAAAGACAGATAAACAACTATGGGATCGCAAGGGGAGGAATCGAGAGATAAATGATACATAAAGTGAAAAAATATCAGAACAATTGGGATCTCAGAAGAGGAAAGAGAGAGAGGGGGGCAGAAGGTACACAGAAGCAAATGATAATGGAGAATTTCCCTAATTTGGGGAGGAAATAGGCATCAAAATACAGAAGACACAGAAAACACCCTTCAAAATCTATAAAAATGAGTCAACACCCCAACATATAATAATGAAACTTGCAAGTCTCAGAGATAAAGCTAAAATCCCAAAAGTAGTTGAGGACAAGACGTCTGTAACCTATGATGGTACAAAGATTAGATGGGCAGCAGACCTATCCACAGAGACCTAGCAGGCCAGAAAGGACTGGCAGGATATATTCATGGTGCTAAATGAGAAAATTATGCAGCCAAGAATTCTTTATCCAGCTAGGAAGTCATTCAAACAGAAGGAGTGATAAAAACCCTCCAGGACAATAGAAACTAGAAGATTTTGTGATCACCAAACAACCCTGCAAGAAATATAAAAGGGGTTCTTTAGGCAAAGGGAGAGCCCACAAGTAAAAGAAAAAAAGGAACAGAGACAACAGACATTAACAGTCGATTGACAGGTAAGACAATGGCACTAAATTCAAATCTTTCAGTAGTTACTCTGAATGGAAATGGACCAAATGCCCCACTCAAAAGACACAGGGTATCAGATTGGATAAAAAAGCAAGACTCATCAATATGCTGTCTGCAAGAACTCATTTTAGATCCACAGACATCTGCAGCTTGAAAGGGAGGGGGTGGAAAACCATGAATCACGCTAATGGACGTCAAAAGAAAGCTGGGGTAACATTCCTTATACTGGACAAATTAGATTTTAAACCAAGGACCAATAAGAGATGAGGAGGGACTGTGTATCATAATTAAAGGGTCTATCCAACAAGAAGATCTAGCAATTGTAAATTTTTATGCCCCTAACTTGGGAGCAGCCAATTATATAAGCTAGTTAATAACAAAATTAAAGAAACACATTGATAAGAATACAGTTACGGGAGGGGACTTTAACACTCCCCTCACTGCAACAGACAGATCACCTTAGCCGAAGATCAACAAGGAAATATGGGCTTTGAATGGCACACTGGACCAGATGGACTTCACAGATATATATTCAGAACACTGCATCCTAAAGCAACAGAATACACATTCTTCTCGAGTGAACATGGAACACTCTCCAGAATAGAGCACATACTAGCACACACAAATCAGGTCTCAACTGGTACCAAAAGATTGGGATTATTCCTAGCATACTTTCAGACCACTGTGTTTTGAAACTTGAACTCAGTCATAACAGGAAATTTGGAAAGAACTCAAATACAAGGAGGCTAAAAAGCATCCTACTAAAGAATGAATGGGTCAACCAGGAACTTCAAAAGAAGAATTTTCAAAATTTCATGGAAACAAATGAAAATGAAAACACAACTTTTCAAAACCTTTGGGATGCAGCAAAGGCGGTCCTAAGAGGGAAGTATATAGCGACACAAGCCTTTCCCAAGAAACAGGAAAGGTCTCAAATACACAACCTAACCTTACACCTAAAGGAGCTAGAGAAAGAACAGCAAATAAAGCCTAAGCCAAGCAGGAGAAGAGAATTAATAAAGATTAGAGCAGAAATCAATGAAATAGAAACCAAAAGAACAGCAGAACAGATGAACAACACTAGGAGCTGGTTCTCTGAAAGAATCAATAAGATCGATAAACCCTGGCCAGATTATCAAGAAGGAAAAGGGAAAGGACCCAAATAAGTAGCATCACAAGTGAAAGACGAGAAATCACAACCAACACCAAAGAAATATAAACAATGATAAGAACATATTATGAGCAACTATACATATGCCAACAGATTACACAATCTGGAAGAAATGGATGTATTCCTAGAGATGTATAAACTACCAAAATTGAACCAGGAAGAAAGAGGAAACCTGAACAGACCCATAACCAGGAAGAAAATTGAAGCAGTAATCAAAAATCTCCCCACAAACAAGAGCCCAGGGCTGGATGGCTTCCCAGGGGAATTCTTCTGAACATTTAAAGAAGAATTAATACCTGTTTCTCTGAAGCTCTTTCAAAAAATAGAAATGGAAGAAAAAATTCCAAACCCTTTCTATGAGGTCAGCATTACCTTGATCCTAAAACCAGATAAGGACCCCACCAACAAGGAGAACTACAGATCAATATCCTTGATGAACATGGATGCAAAAATTATCATCATGAAGCCAAGAGTACTTTAAAAGGATTATTCAACACAAAGAAGTGGGATTTATTCCTGGGCAGCAAGGGTAGTTCCACATTCGCAAATCAATCAATGCGATACACGACGCTAATGAAAGAAAAGGACAAGAACCATATGATTCTATCAATGCACATGGGAAAAGCATTTGACAAAGCACAGCATCCTTCCTCGATGAAAATTTTTCACAGTGGAGGGACAGAGGGAACATATCTCAGTATCATAAAAGCCATTTATGGAAAGCACACAGCAAATATCATTCTCCATGGGGATAAACTGAGAGCCTTCCCCCTAAGGTCAGGAACATGGCAAGGATGTCCACTATCACCACTGCTGTTCCACATAGCACTGGAAGCCCTAGCCTCAGCAATCAGACAACAAAAAAGAAATAAAAGGCATCCGAATTGGCAAGAAGTCAAATGCTCACTCTTCACACATGACATGATACTCTACGTGGAAAACCCAGAAGACTCCACCCCAAAATTGCTAGAACTCATACACGAATTCAGCAAAGTGGCAGGATATAAAAATCAATGCACAGTTAACCGCA